TGAACCTGGGAGGCGGAGCTTGCAGTAAGCCAAGATCGTGCCACTGCATTCCAGCCTGGGCAACACAGCAGGACTCCGTCTCAAAAAAATATATATATTGTTATTTACTAATCAATATTAATAATACTAATTTTAACGCACTTAATATAGGTCAGGGTCTATTCTAAACCATTTTATCACTTTGAACCTTATGGAATTGCTATTACTTGGAGGCAAGAAACAGTTGTATACTGGCAATTCCCCTGGCTCAACCTAATATATAAAATTTCATTTTTTCTTGGGAAGAACCCCCACAAGCAAGTTCCGTCATTATTCAGGTGAAGGGTTAGCAGATGTTCTTCTGTATGGGAAATTAACTTTCTAGCTGCTACCCCTGGAAACCTGATGAAGGTAGGTGTCAGCTGTGTTGCCAGGCAACGTGACTTAGAATAGCAATTACCCTTATTAGTAAATTGCATATATGAAAATACTTGGTGGGACGCCATGTCCAGTCCTATGGAGTTGTCACCTGAGTTGTTGGCTCCTGTGCACAGGAGGCCTCTAAGCCCAGGTGTACCCTGTACCCACCAATGTGGATCTCATTGCTTAGCTCCTGGATCTCACCTGGGGGCCACCCATGCTTCTACATGCATTGTGTGAGGTCACTCGTTTAATTCTTGCAACAACCCAGGAAGGGCAGTGAGATGTTACCCACTTTACAGAGAGGACACCTCGCTTGAGAAGAGAAATGACTTGTCTACAACATGCACCCAGGAAGTGGCAGAGCTGGGATTTGAACCCGAACCGGCCTGTTTCTATGGCCTGCTGATGGCTTATGCGGTTCCTACAACATAAGTGCCATGCAGACAAAGCTGGGGTCTGTCCTGCCCACTTGGTTCCTCAGTGCCAAGTATCTAAGATCTCCCAGCTAGGAAGTGCTGGGAATATGGCTGAAAGGAAGGAAAAAGTCAAGAAAAGTCAAGAAAAAGTCAAGAAAAAGTCAGGGATTTGAGCCTCAGTTTCCTCTCCGTGAAGTGGAGCTAACATTTCTCAACTCCCAGAGTTTTTATTTTTAATTTTTTAATTTTTAAGACAGTCTCGCCGGGCGCGGTGGCTCACGCCTGTAATCCCAGCACTTTGGGAGGCTGAGGCGGGCGGATCACAAGGTCAGGAGATCGAGACCATCCTGGCTAACACG